TGTTGAGACATTTTGGTGACAAGTGTTTTTAGGGCAATTGCACCCTGTTGAATCCGATTTTGCCTGTCACCACCTCGAATTTTGGCCTCAAATCAAGATGACGGCCAAAATGGCGACTAAAACTCACTTTAACATTTTTTTCTTGTTGAAAACAAAAATATTATGATGATTTTTATGTAGCACATACGTTTTGCCACCTAGTACTAGTTTATGAAAAATTTTGAAGTCAAAAAATTTAAGATGGTGGCTGAAATAGAGTTCCAAATGCCGCGTTTTGTAGTATTCTTGATTTATTCTACCTTAAGTGAGCAAAAGAATTATAATTTGTTTACAAAGTGCCCGCTTAAGTAAAAAAGAAATACAAAAACTTTACTTACACTTTTTCAAAAATGGCGGACAAGATGGCGCTTAGTTTGAGTCTTTGTATGCGATATACAGGTAGTATTAAAATCATTATTTTTCGTTTAATTTCATATTATTGATTACCGTATACAAACTGTATAAAAAAATAAATCGAAAACAAAACTTAAAAAAATAGAAATGAGCAAAAACATTAGGCTTTATTCGGATTCGTCACTTGAATCCGAAGATTGCACAAGCTGAGTTTCTTCGCTTTTGTTGTTGGTGCAAAAACTTTTACATTGGCAACTTCTGGTGCACAGCATGAGTTTGCCTTTCAAATTTACAGTTTTCCGGCACCTGCACATGTTAGTTTTGCACCCTTTCTTGCAACCACAATGTACCAAACTTTGGCATGCTTTTGGCACGGCACACCCACAGTCAAAATATTTCGAACTTGGCAGGCCAGCAGATTCGCGCAATCGGTCATTTTGCGCGCGTTGCATCGTCGCTGTGATGGAAGGTCGTAAATTACGCGTGCGTTTCAAACGCTGAATAAACAATATTTGGCGTTCTCTTTGTAAAACTAAAAAAACTTTATAAGGATCTTATAATATAATTATGAATACCTCCCTAACGCACCCAAAAAGATTTCGATTATTGCTATTAAAATATCATCAAAAGTCATAAAAATATCCGCATCTTCGGAACCATTTTGTTTTATTTTTTTCGCAAATTGTTATTAGTAATCATGGTGGGTAGACACTCATTTTAACCTATTTGTGTTAACCCCATGTGAAAAATGCAAATTTTTTCTTTGCAACTAAAGAAATTAGTTAACACAAGTTTCTACCGTCATTTTGACCACCATCTTAATTTGTTTTTGGCTACATATTTTTTTATACAATAGTAATAAATAATGAAACGTATGTACTAGATAAAAATCGTGATAATATCTTTGGTTACAACAACAACAAAATTTAAAGTGAGTTTTAGTGGCCATTTTGGGCGCCATCTTGATTTGAGGCCTTAGCAGCCGGAATTCGAGGTGGTGACAGGCAAAATCGGATTCAGCAGGATCCAATTACCCTAAAAACACTTGTCACCAAAATGTCTCAAGATTTGCCGTTAGAAGTTAAGATCTCAAAATTCTCGCCCGGACTAATAACTTTGGCGAACTTGCTGCTGCACAGATGTATTGTGGAACAATGACGAACTACGTCTTCAACAAAACAAATCTAGCTGACTACCCGTATTTTAACGTAATGCAACAGCACAAGCCGCTCTTACTTGTTGTCTCCAGTATTTAAAGAAACACCACTTCCAGCATAAAATAAAAATTCTCCAAATTGAAACGAGGTTACTCTCCGTTATCTCAGTTGCGCCATAAATTTCCTAGTGAAATCTGGATGAACTAAAACGCAACAGTGGGGGCATAAATCCGATCATAAATCCCCTGGTGGAATCTGGATGAACTGAAGACCGACGGTGGCGCATAAATCCTCTAGTGAAATCTCAATGAAGTAAAGAGCAGCGGTCGCGCTATAAATCCCTGGGGAAATCTCGACGAACTAAAAAGCGACGGTGGCACCATTTAAGCCCCTGGTGAAATTACGATGAACTAAAAAGCGACGGTGGCGCCCATTTAAGCCCCTGGTGAAATCTCGATGAACTAAAAAGCGACGGTGGCGCCATTTAAGCCCCTGGTGAAATCTCGATGAACTAAAAAGCGACGGTGGCGCCATTTAAGCCCCTGGTGAATCTCGATGAACTAAAAAGCGACGGTGGCGCCATTTAAGACCCTGGTGAAATCTCGATGAACTAAAAAGCGACGGTGGGGCCATTTAAGCCCCTGGTGAAATCTCGTTGAACTAAAAAGCGACGGTGTCGTCATAAATCCCCTCGTGAAATCGGGATGAACTAAAAAACTACGGATATTTCACACCTCCCGGTGCTACTTTTTCCCTCCAAAGCGTTTACAGTCCTTAACACTCCATAATCATGACAATGTTTGGATATCTAAATGTGTTACAGGAGAACGTTGTACGGGGGGTCTGGGAGTTTGGACTACTCTCCCCCCCTCCGGAAATTCGATGGCCTTCTCTTAAAAGTATAAAACCTTTCCTGGAGAGTAATTCCGTACTCAGTAGATCCCGGTGCTTTTTTTTTCTCATCGTTTAAAATATGAGAGGTCTTCTGGGGATATTTCATACTCCCCTCAGTGCTACTTTTCCTTGGAGAACGTAACATCTGAGGCTCTGGGGGGTATTCTATACGCCCACGAAATTATATGATCCTCTCTTAAAAATATAAGACCTTTCCTGGAGAGTATTCCGTACCCACCAGAACTCTTAGTGCTGTTTTTTCTTCTCATCTTTTCCTGGGTGATTTTTAATACTCCCCGGTGCTACTTTTTCCTCCAAACATTTTCCTTTGATGTTACAGACCAGGCTTTATTTAATAATTTCGAGTCGTTAAATACAAAAAAGACACAAAACCTTCCCCATACTAATTTAATAAACAAATTATGAAAGCAGCGACTAGTTTCGACCAACGGTCATCTTCCGGCTACAATATCTGTTACAGATTTATAAAACTTAGGTACAGGATAAAGGTACATACCTACCTTAAGCAAAATTAAAAAGTTTTATTCTGTATTTTCCTTAAGGTATGTACTTTTATCCTGTAAGTTTTATAGATCTGTAACGTATATTATAGCCAGAAGATGACCGTTGGTCGAAACTAGTCGCTGCTTTTATATTTTGTTTATTAAATTAGTATGGGAAAGGTTTTGTGTCTTATTAGTACTCAACGACTCTAATATACACAACCCTATTTTGAGTTTCATCACACCATGGATATTTCCGATTTAAATAATTTCGTTTTTGATGCAGTTTGTTGGTGGTGAAGAAGACAACTTTATTATTAAGTCAAAATCTAGTGACAAAATCGTCTCACAATGGAAAATTGACTTTTACGATCCATTCTGTAGGATTCTGCCACATTTCAGTTAGTTTACTTAGCTCGTGACATCACAAGTTTAATTTTTCTGGATTCTTCAAATCCACATTTACCAAGAACATTTGTTTCGCAGTAGATCTGAGAGAAGTTCCATGTTGTTCGATTTTTGAGTACACATTTCTTGCTGTCAGGTCGTTTGCCCCATAGCAATTTTAGTGAAAGATTTCCCTTATTCTATAATTTCTGTTTTGATTTACGGTCGATTTGTTCCATACCTGTTTTTTTTTTATTATTAATGAACAAGGTTTAGTAACTATTTCCTTTAGCGTTCCCTTTATTGCTCGGTAATGTATAGCACGTAGGGGTCATAAGGCCAATCAAGCGTAAAAGCAATATTAAATATTCCTTTACTTAATGTCACATTTACATTTTATGTATTTATTGATTACCTCATTCCGCATAACAGCCTACTGAAATTCCACTTCAGCACGAAACGATGGACAAACTTTCCGCTTGTCATTGCAAGCCGATGCGATTCCACCTGTCGAGAGAAGGACCTCGTCCAGAACCCTGTCCCACGCCCACACTCGAAGATCATCAATTGTGGCCGTCGGCCCGATCAATAATTCGAAATAGCGTTAGAGAAACGAAACCACCTCAAAACTGGCGGAATATAGTTGACTTAACGCGCGTTTCACGAAGTGACTTCCTTATTCATTGTTTGGGGAATTGTACGAAAAGTCGACACAATTTAAATTACGTCTCCTCGCGCTCTTAATTCGACGAATAATAATTTGCTTCCTCCAAAATTGAAATGTTGCATTCGCATCAAACTTAAACAATCTGAATATTAGATTAAAATTGTAAATTTTAAATCGCTCCGAAACTCTCGCGCGACGGTGCTCCTGGGGGTTTTCGCGAATTACGATTTAAACGCCACTCTAACTAACTTGGAGATATATCCACGTAATTAAATTAGCTGTGCAAAATTACTCCGTAGACGACGGGAAGATCTCGTTTTTTATGGACGTGTATTATTTCTATAGTAATCTGTTTTCAAGGGATTATGTTTCTGAAGTGTGCAGAACAGGTGGCATTTCCTTGGTTTTTAAGCATGAGATCTTGCTGATATTTCTACAGCTTTCCTGAAATCTGTACTGTTTTGAATTATACCGATTTCCCGAGTCTCCCTTCCCTTTAACCTTGATTTATTGGTGAAGCTTTCAAGGCCACTAGATCCCATACATTGGCCGAATCTAGGGCCGAATTGTCTTGCTTCTGAGGCTACTTCAAACACTTTCAGATTTGCTTTTTGAGTATCTCATCATCGGAGGTGTACAATCGATGGAATCTTTTGGGTCCTTACTTAAGTTTGGGCAGTTTTTAAGGAAGTCCTGATAGCATCTGAAAAGTACTACCAATAAAAGGAAATAGAACGTGCGAAACCATTATTGGAAAAGACGTGCGCGAAGTGTGAAAAAAGGATGTTCAGAAATGATCTGCCCATAAGTGATAAATTGGATTGATGTACGATTAAATTAGTTAATTATGGATTGCGGATAAATTCACCCTAAGGTTGTAACACGTTAGGTTAAATGTGCGAATAGTGTTTAATCCGTTACGCATTCTAATTTTGCGCCATAAATTATTTCTGGATGCAAATTTTGTAATATTCTCTAACACACGCATTCTTGTTTCAGGTGAGTTTTCCACGATAACAGTAAATCATCGTCGCGCAAGCGAGTCTAGTCGTCTGGGTCGATCCCCGTATTCTTCCAAATCTATTAATGTTATTAAGCGTAAGTACCTTGAACATTTTGTGAACACCCCATTTAGAGACGCATCCATAATATTTATAAGTCTCGGCGTACGAGCCAAAAGACTATAATCTGTTTTGGTTACGTTAGATTATTATGCAAAATGATTTACTCATTAAATCGCGGCGAGATTTATATAAATAACCGCGACGCATAATTAGCGATTTTAGATACGTATTTTTAGGGTTGAGTTCAAATATAACCCCAAAAGAAAATTTCGTCATATAACGTTGCATCAATGTAATATAAACTTTGGCAAACATCACGAGCGTATACAAATGTTCTTACGTCCTCAAATTGCATTTTTGGAGAGAGCTTCGGGCTACGAGCGACTTTATGGTTGGATGCCGCTTTCCGACGTTTCAGAAAACGCTGTTTTGATCGTAATATCAGTCGGGATATAACCTTAAGATATCCATCCGACCCCCTTCAGTTTTAACTTTCGAATCGAGCAAGCGAACTTTTTAAAGCGTAGCGAGACAAACAAAATTTAAGTGCAATCGCAAACGAACTCGATTTTTATTCATTATTCATTACGTTCGTTATTTTTTGTTTGAACGGGCCAGCACTTGACCGATGTTACATTCTTTTGCTTCTTCAAGTATCGCCAACTTTTCCAACTAACACAATTTTAAAGGACCCCGACTTGGTCGTGATTTTTCGGTACATTTATACTGAAAAGGCTATGAGGGCGCTCGCTTAGTGATTGAATACCATCGATTGCTTTGCCAACTTTAACCCCTTATTGGTTTTACTTTGCGAAATAGATCATTAATGTTGCCGTATTGAGCTTACTATAAATATTTACACCAGCAAAGAAAAGCCTCCTTTCATCAGCAGTTGTGCCAGATTCCTTGTATTATCGATTTTATATACTCGATTATATTTTTATTACGTTGTTGTTGGCATTTTGATTATCTTTCCAAGTTGAATACACGTAATTATATATCTAATTTTAGGGTCACGTGTCTTTTCAATGCAATACGAAACCTTATTCGTTATTATTCGGCGACACGTGATACAGAAGTCGTAATAATTAATGCTATGTTCAAATTTAAATTAACAATTTACGAAAGAGTGTCACTAAATCGAGAAAGAAAACAAAAAACCACTATCAGGGAATGCCGAAATGTGAAAAAGCGTAATCGTACATTGCCTAATGGTAAATGGTAATACTACATATTGTACATAATCTTATGCACCAAATTTGATGGGAAAACCTGCGTAATTATGGGTTGGTTTACACATTTTTCTTGTCAAATTAAACTCGGTGTAATTGAGTTTCGCCATTTCAACCAGAAGTTGATTAACCTGTAACTTAATAATCAAAATATCTGTAATCAATATTGATAATCAAGTATCATCTACATAATATGCGGGTATATAGGAACAACCTGTCGGTGATCATAATAAAGCCACCTCTCCCTGAAAAAAGCTTCTCTAACAGCACACTTGTAGTTCAATAGAAAAGTATGCCGCCGTCCCTGTCAGTGTTTCATTGATCGAAAAGTCGATACGGTGGAGCATTGATCAAGAATCGCAATTGAAGAGTGTTACTTATGTAAGAGTCATTTTTTTTTAATTTTAACTGAATATTACTATGTAGATAAGTGTGAATTTGTGATAGATATCGAGAATTACAACCCCCGCAACTGAGTATTTAAAGCCGGGAGAGGGGAGGATTCTATTTTTGTGGGACAATTGGAGGGTTGCATATAGAGGAATTAAGCATAATCTATTAAAGAAAGAAAAATGGTGATGTACAGTCAAATTTCTATTTTCTAACAAATTACGAAATTGTAAAAATTTGCTTTTACGTACTTAGCAGTTTTCAATTGTGGGGGTTGTAAATTTTGTTGTGGATCAAATATTTTTATTTCCTTGATCGATTCTGATTAAGGGATGTACAAGCAACCCTTAAATTGCCAATTACAAGTAAATTCCCATCTCGTTTTAGAAATTCGTAATTTTTATTAAAATTGGCTCTTACCTACTTAGCATTATTCAATTGCGGGGGTAGTAAATGTTGTGGGTCAAATATTTTATGTCCTTGACGATTCTAATTAAAGGATGTACAAATAACCCTTAAATTGCCAATTACAAGTAAAATCCTACCCCGTTTTAAAAATTCGTAATTTTTATGAAAATTCGCTCTTACCTACTTAGCAGTATGCAATTGCGGGGGTAGTAAATGTTGTTGTAGGTCAAATATTTTTATTTCCTTGACGATTCTGATTAAGGGATGTACAAGCAACCCTTAAATTGCCAATTACAAGTAAATTCCCATCCCGTTTTAGAAATTCGTAATTTTTATTAAAATTGGCTCTTACCTACTTAGCATTATTCAATTGCGGGGGTAGTAAATGTTGTGGGTCAAATATTTTATGTCCTTGACGATTCTAATTAAAGGATGTACAAATAACCCTTAAATTGCCAATTACAAGTAAAATCCTACCCCGTTTTAAAAATTCGTAATTTTTATGAAAATTCGCTCTTACCTACTTAGCAGTATGCAATTGCGGGGGTAGTAAATGTTGTTGTAGGTCAAATATTTTTATTTCCTTGACGATTCTGATTAAGGGATGTACAAGCAACCCTTAAATTGCCAATTACATGTAAAATCCCATCCCATTTTAGAAATTCGTAATTTTTATGAAAATTCGCTCTTACCTACTTAGCAGTATTCAATTGCGAGGGTAGTAAATATTGTTGTAGGTCAAATATTTTTATTTCCTTGACGATTCTGATTAAGGGATGTACAAGCAACCCTTAAATTGCCAATTACATGTAAAATCCCATCCCATTTTAGAAATTCGTAATTTTTATGAAAATTCGCTCTTACCTACTTAGCAGTATTCAATTGCGAGGGTAGTAAATATTGTTGTAGGTCAAATATTTTTATTTCCTTGACGATTCTGATTAAGGGATGTACAAGCAACCCTTAAATTGCCAATTACAAGTAAATTCCCATCCCGTTTTAGAAATTCGTAATTTTTATTAAAATTGGCTCTTACCTACTTAGCATTATTCAATTGCGGGGGTAGTAAATGTTGTGGTGGGTCAAATATGTTTATTTCCCTGATCGATTCCGACTAAAGGATGTACAAACAAACCTTAAGTTCCCAATTACAAGTAAAATCCCATCGTGTTTTAGATATTCGTAATGTTTATGAAAATTCGCTCTTGCCTACTTAGCAGTATTCAATTGTGAGGGTAGTAAATGTTGTAGTAGGTCAAATATTTTTATTTCCTTGATCGATTCTGATTAAGGGATGTACAAGCAACCCTTAAATTGCCAATCACAAGTAAAATCCCATCCCGTTTCAGAAATTCGTAGTTTTTATGAAAATTCGCTCTTACCTACTTAGCAGTATTTAATTGTGGGGGTTGTAAATTTTGTTGTGGGTCAAATATTTTTATTTCCTTGATCGATTCTGATTAAAGGATGTACAAGCAACCCTTAAATTGCCAATTACAGGTAAAACCCCAACCCGTTTTAGAAATTCCTAATTTTTATCAAAATAGGGGGAGCTTATTTTTGTGTAGTAACTGAAGGATTTCTTGTAGAATAAGTTGAGCATAAAATCTATCACAGAAATAAAAATCTTTGATTGTTTTATTGCAGGAAAGATTTTATTTTTGTGATAATTGGAGGGTTGCATGTAGATCAGTTAAGCGTAAACTATCAAAGAAACAAGAATAGTTGACATACAACAAAAATTACAACCCCCGTAGTCGAATCTTTTTAAGAGCCTTTATGATCCTTAAGGGGCTTTTATGAGATGGGTCCTTTAGAATTAAGTTCTAAGAGAATTTAATGAGCTCATATGGGTCCGTTACATCATCAGAGATACAATCTCCATATTTTTTCTACAAGGCTTTTAACAAACCTTTCAAGAAATTTTAAGGGTGCTTTAAGAGTATTTTTCATTTGAACCTTGAAGAGCATTTAGGGTGAAGAGTCTTTGAAATGTTTTAAAGCGCAATTGTGGATTCTTTAAACCCTTATCGATCGAATTAATTATATAGGTATCCAGTGTTACCATTGTAACAGACCCTCTCCTGCCAGAAGGTTCTTCTGATTATTACACTAGCAGTTCGCATTGGGATTGTTGTATCATCATCATATTAAAAACCAGATCCAACGACCAAAATTCAAAATTGTTATTGTTGTCCCAAACTGGACGGGGAATCCCAAGGGAGCTTTTCTCTGTTCTCTCGTGTTCGGAGTGGGGATAATTTTAGTTGTTATTAATTATTGTTCCCTCTACTGTATCTAGTCGCCCCAGACCTGCCCTGCACTGTAAAAACGATATCTACCAGTAGTGATATAAGGCCGATTCTAACTCAAAAGTCACTAGATGTGAAAAAAAAGTAGAACCGCAGTGGTAGTACGCATTTATAATTTTCTGTTTCCAGTACTATTCGGGCACCATACTTTGTGTTTATGATATCGATATTCAGAATTTTAAACTTTTCCTCCACTTCCATATCCTTGACGTTCTTAAATGCTTTACTGAATGTTCCATTGTTGAGCGCATTAAGATCCATTTTTTAACTGTTTGGAAAGCACTATCGGACTGAATGAAAAAACGTCCTGCAGCTCACCTTATATTTCCAAAGTGTGACCTTGAAATCTAAAGTAATAGATTTCTACACGGTGATTGACAGGAGATAGAATTGTTAGCCCGGACGCAAACCCCGAAAGCATTATAGTGTGATTTCGGCCCATACATTATCGAGAGTAGCTTTACTAGTTTTACAAACCCCAGTCCAGAACCGTACAAGCAAAACATTCGAACCCACGCAGCACAGATACAAACCTAGTTACTTGAAGGCCCCCCGATCAAATTATCCTATCCCGGAAGTAAACCACCACGATCAAATTGCCTTAAACGACCTTGAAACTTCATCGTAACCTGACAACAAACCTCCGACCCAAATAGCTCGGACGCAAACCCCAAGAACCCTCGACTCTGGCA